CATTCGTTTCATGTGTATTTCTATGTTTTTAGGTATCTGACTCATGTGACCCTATGAGTATACTTATACCATCTTCCTCCCCATCATGCTCATACACAAACATCTTTAGTCTCCTATCAATGTCTGACATATTTCCAGGCTAAGGTGAAATCACCTTTCACACATTCAACACTTCCCAGGACCTCCCGCCTAGTCTGGATCTCTTCATTTCCACACATCCCATTGATCTGGGTATTAACTGGGTAAATGAAGTCACCTCTGTTTGCTTTTCATTGACTCAGTGGGGTAGGAGAAAGGCCTCTGAAGAAAGACCTCAAATATATTAAATTCATTCCCATTCTGTGTAGTGAAGTTACTTGATTTTTGTAAGTCACTGTCTCTATTTACACATTTGATTAAAGGTTTGCTCTTACGATGAATGCAGACACATTTTCATATATTACGTCATGATAATAAGGAAAATCATTCTAAATGTACAGCAAATGTTGGCAATGGTCACCGTGTAAATTAGTCATCAGAGCAGGTCTTTGGGATAAAAGAACAAGTAATGAGAGAGTTTACTGAAGTGTAAGAAAGCGTCACATTGATCTGTAGGGCATCATTCCTGCTAAGAGAAGAGTAGGTTTGAAACCCCAAACACATAAGTGGTTTCAGCCTTTTAATATTGATGACTTTTTTTCTTCCTTCCTTCCCCTTTCTTTCTTTCTTTCTTTCTTTCTTTCTTTCTTTCTTTCTTTTTTTGCACAGGAAACAAAAGCAGGATAGAAGGTGAGTCACACATGGATCTTGGTAAAAAATGAATCAGGTCATTCTTTGTTTAGTAAATATAAATATTAAGAATAATTGCACAGATAAGGGTGGATGGAATTTGCCATGTGATATAAACCATGAACCAAGAGTGAAGTGTTTAAAAGTATCATGAAATGTCCTTTTTAACATGTCGGCAGCTTCTTCCCTTTATTCTCCATGTTTTCTTTTACGTCCTTCAATAATTTGGTCTTGCCCCACCCATGATTTCTACACAGCTGGTATCAGTTTATTTCCACCTTTCTCACTCTGTCCCCTTTTAATATTCCCAAATCATGCAGGGATCTGTGAGTACAAGAACCCTTAGAAATCAGGATGGATGAAACAGGGGAGTGGCTGGCATGGCGTCAGGAATCCTGGTGAACATACATGAGGAGGTGACCTGCCCCATTTGCCTGGAGCTTCTGACAATCCAGGAGCCTTAATTGTGGCCACACGTTCTGCCAAGCCTGCATCACTGCGAACAACAAGGAGTCCAAGACTGGCACAGAAGGGGAGAGTAGCTGCCCTGTGTGCCGACTCAGTTACCACCTGAGAACCTGCGGCCTAACCAGCTTGTGGCTAACATAGTGGAGAGGCTCAGGGAGGTCAGGATGAGCCCGGAGGTGGAGCACAAGGAAAATCTCTGTGCGCACCATGAAGAGAAACTCCTGCTCTTCTGTAAGGAAGATGCGAAGGTCATTTGCTGGCTTTGTGAAGAGTCTCAACAGCACCGTGATCTAACCGATAGAGAACTCAGAGAGATACAGCAAAACTCACTCAGGCAGTCTAAAGAGCTCAGGAATACAATTAAAGTTCTGAAGGAAAACCTTCCCAACGAGGATGAAACTCTAAAACAGAATCGAACAAATTCTGGAGCTGAAGAACACCAAAAATGGGAAGGAGAACACGTTAGAAAGCATTGAAAGTAGAGCAGACCAGATGGAGAGGGAATGCATGAGCCCGCACGTTGAAATCTAGAAATGATATGAGTAGAAGAGGAGAGAGAAATAAGACATAAAAATGAGTTAATTTCCGAGGACTATCGGACTCTTTTAGGAAGGGCACCATTAGGCTAATGGGTATCCCAGAAGGAGCAAAGGGACAAAAGGGAGCAGAGAGATTTTAAAGAAATAATAGCTGTGAGCTCCCCAAACCTGGGGAAGGAACTGGATATACACTGTGCCCATGCACCTGAGAGAACACTTAATGACCA